GTAGAGGTTGAGTGCAATATTGTACATTTGCTGTTATGTTAAACTTATATTAAAGTTTTCTTGCATTACCCATTCAATCCGTCTCCAGCCATTATTAGTCTCAAAGTGGATTCCTCGTCATCGAACATGTGAAATGTCTACACTCTTGAATTCTTCACTATAGATTTTATATCTTCCATAATATGGCTTTCAGAGTGTCTAACCAATTACAAACACAAACTATGCATGACAAGCAGGAACACTAGATTTGAATTTTGTACCTTCTCAACTTGCTGAGACATCTAAAACTTGTCAAACACACCAGAGAATCCCTTTCCATCATTCCATAGCTTTCATTACAATGATCTATTCATGTGTCCTTATCAGATCAACATGCTTATAACCAATACACAGAACATTTTCTCTTGTACAAAAACTTGTTAGTGTTGTTTCTTTTTTAGTGGGTAGACAGTTAGTCTTAGATTCTTAGTAAGTGATCATTGTTGTTCAACTCTGAGCACCATAAGCTGCATACATAAACTTTTTGTTTAGCTAACAAACATTGCTTTCACTTTTTTCTTCTCTCTTTTTCAATGAGTAAGAGACTGATGGTTTCAAAAACGTGCATGTAAGTAAGCAAGATACCACAAGGATCAGTAAACAATGTCCAGAACAGTAGCCTTACTTAGGGATAAGCTAGATATGCTCTGACTAAGAATGACAAAAAGCCTATTGAGCACATTTTGTAACAGTTTTTGAAAAAGCCTGTGACCTATTCAACTTTCATTAATAAAACTTATGATTCTTAATGTGCCTGCGAAACATTTCTTTTCCCTAGAACAAGAAGTTTTCAAGATGAAATCATTTTAAATATGGTACCTTTCTTTCTGCAATAAATGGACTTGAATCATGTCGGTTTTTACACTTAGCTATGTTAAAGGGTATTATGTTATGCATTGATTTTGTTTATAGTAAATAGTCTGTTGTATTCACTGTGAAATCAAAGACAATTGTGTCATTCCCAATGTATTTGTCATGGCATCTGATGGCTGTTAAGACTTAAAGAGCAAGATTCTATTATGTAAAAGTTAAGTCATAATTAAAATTTAGTATCCTTAGACAATATGCACATGTTATGGCTGTAGCCCTTTTATAATTTAAGAAAAGCATATTTCTTAAATCAAAATTTGTTTGTTTGCTCTTAGCACAAAGCTACACCATAGACTATCTGTACTCTGTTCATCACAGGAAATAAAATCCTAGATTTTAGCACTGTAAGTTCATAACCATACTACTGGAGAATTTTAAATCAGGAAGATTAGGATAGTTTTAAAAAATGTTAATGAAAATTAATTGTTTGTGCTTAGCTAAATATTATGCATAAACAGGATGTAGCTAGTTGTGAACAGCTATAATCTTGCCCTTAAGTTATCACTCATAGGGATAGTGCCAGTGTGTCTTCTACTGTTTGTGGTCAGTACATTAGTTATGTAAAGCAGCTATTTTTTTTACAATGTCTGACATGTTGGATACATGCAAAAAGAGAGGAATATAAGAAAAATTGCTTTTCCTTTTCTTAGTAATGAGATTTTTTTTTGACAAAGATGACAAAGTTTTATGGGAAGTAATGGCAGGGCTTAAAATTGGATATAGATAAAAGCTAATACTTCATTCAGAATTGCCATTGCTCTCAACTAGGTTATATTTTGCCTTCATGATCATCATGTGCATAGCAATTTCATTAAGTATAGAAATACAAAGTTTCAAACCTTTTAGAATTTTCCTAATATGGATAAGGAAAAAAACGGGGGGGAGGCAAAACAAGTTTTATCCTGGTCAAAAAAATTCCTTGTTTTAATTTTATGCTTGGCTATCTTGTTCCATTGTTTGTAAAAGTTAACATGAATTCAGTATCGTATGTGCACATGTATAGATTTGTTTGCATTGCCACCAAGCAGGTTTTAGGTGTTCAATTTCAACAGGGACTAAAGACTGTTGTTAATAAAATTGTAGTTGATCATATTCCTAGCAGTCCAATACATGATGTGAGACATATTTTATATTAATAAGAATTCTAATTCTAACCAATTACATATTTTGAAGAAAGTGTGGTGAGGGGTCAGTATGACATCATCTATTGTTCAGCTGGAAATAAAGATGGGGAGAAAAGCAACTAGTGTGAACAAGAGTTATTCAATTATCTTTCAATACTTACTGGATGTCCCTTTCATGAGTATAAATTATGCAAAACCAAAATGAGTGCAAGGAATTTTTTCACCCAGAAAGAAAAACAGACTGGTATGACTATATAAATGAGTATTTGCGATCAAGATTTCTTAATAAAACATAATGATCCTCTTGCAAACATTTCTGTACCTTTTAAAAAATTTCAACAAGTGCTTTGGATCCTTTTTTATAAAATAATTTCCTAATACAACCCCTGTGTGCAGACTGCCCAGTTTTACACTTTTTTTAACGTTTCTGCATATATGAGTCAGCCATTAACTGTTGTTCACCATAAAGTAACTTCTTTATTAAAATGTCAAAAAGTGTGTTACTTTTCTTTCTTGAATTTATCTTTATCAATCTTTGAATGCATTTCCTTAGGAACTCTGGCCGTTGTGGTATTTGATTTAACTGTTTGTTAGAAGCACAGTGGAGTACATATACCACAACCTTTTATCATAAAGCAACAGAACTTTAATATATTTAAATTTACTGAACAATACCAAGCAAATATGATACTATATACCTTTCTGTTGTATACATATATATATATATATTATACATTTTTAAATTAACAGCCATATAAAACAAAAATTTTTTATGATATTTTATGGCAACAATCCTTTTCAACCTTACCCAAATAAACACAACCAAAAACTCCAACAACATGCAGCACATCCTACTTTCCTGCTTATACTGGTCATGATAACGTTCCCACATTCAAGGCACCTGGTCTGCACAGGGGCAATTCCAAATCTTGTAGCAATTGGTGTGGGTTGCTGGGCCGTAATCTGATGACAGACGACTGTGGTAGTATTAGCTACAAAAAACAACCCTTTCAGTGTTTCACTTTTTTATTTCTGATACAGTAGTTAAATTTTTCACTAACTATATAAAAGCTTAGAAAAAATTAAAATTAATTTATGCATACTTTTTGGTGTTATACTGATATAGTTATGAAGAAAGTAGCACTTATGCTTATTTATTTAAAATGCTTTTCTAACCAATAATTAGGTTATGTTAGATCTGAATAAAGATGAGAAATAATGAGGATGGAATAATTATGACTACATGTAAATGTAACATTGCATTTTTCACCATGAAGTAATTCAAAACAGCTTTACAGATTACATCATTTATAATTTCTAAAAAAATCAAATTATACAGTATATATATTTTTATTAGTTTATCAGAATAAACGTAAACAGAACTACTACTACTACATGAATAAATTAAACTAGAGCATTAAAGATATGGATGATCTGCAGGATGGGGCAAGGGGGCATTGCCTCCCACTCTGGGGTTACAGAAGAAAATTTATTTGAATAATTTAAGATTAAAAAATGTATTATAAAATAATACTTTTTAAACATATATGATGAAATTAGGTGTGCATAAATAAGCCATAATCAGCCAGAGCATCATATGCAAACTTCAAGGCAATGGCTTGCACTCTGCAATGGCATGTCTCCCACTGGAATAAATTTTGTGGATGCTCATGACTGGAACATATTCATATGACTGATCAAAGAACCAACCAAATATTTCTCATATTCCTATGAGATGGAACATTTGTTACAATATGACTGTTCACTGAACCCACAAGTGTAGAACATACAGAAATAATTACTGAATTAGCTAGAGAATACATATATATATATATGATTATTCAGTAAACCAAATACAGTAGAACATATATATATATATATGTCTAATCATTTAATTGACTAAAGTAAATGACCATGAACCAATTAAAGTAGAATAGGTGTATGACTGACCACTGACCCAGTGAAGAACATTCATATGGCTGAAATAGTAATCTGTTGGATATCCCTCACATAAGCATAATTTACTGTTTTACAGAGTTAACAGAAATGTATCTTTGAAACCTTTAACTAGATTATAAGTAATCAATACTGATGACAGAACTAGCATGGGTTAATCACAAAAACAACAGGTTACTTAAATAGATTTTAACTCACACAGGTATAAAGAAAAACTCCTAGGCCATCAGTTATTGTTGATGAGAGTAATATTACCCTTTAGCCTTACTCTTAAGTGTACAGGAGGTAAGTAACTGAAGTTAAAGCGGGTTTAAAATGCCAAAGAATGTTACTTATCAGGAGAATAAAGATATCATATGACAGCAGTATCACAATAATTAATCTAAATTAGATTCACAAAAGAATATCAAGTGAAATAAATTCTTAACTTTATCTTACAGTAAGTTCAATTTAAGTGGCTCAGTAGCAAGTATAAGGGATTATAATGATTAAAATCAGGTTTTGATACCCCATCATGGGCAGAGCCCAGATAGCCAATTTTGTAGGTTTGTGCTTAACAACGATAAACTTATTTATGTATTTAGTGCATTTTATGTTTAATAGTGAAGTTGGTTGAAGTGTTAAACGAGTATGGTAAATAAAAGCACACACACACATATATATAAATATATATATATATCTACCTGACATTGGTTGTGAGATGTTTGGTGAAAGGCTTGGACCACTGTACTGTGGAGGTGGTTGGTTCTGCCAAGAACTATGAGAGAAGTCTCCAACAATACCTGTAAAATACAAAATAACTCACTTTTTGATCTTTATTTGATGATGTTAATATAACCATATTTTGCCTTTTCATAACTAGTGTCAAATATATTTTAATTTAGATGTATTCAAGTAATTTTCTAACTTTTCATGCATGATTCTAGTGTAGTTGTGGCATTCTTGTACATTGTATATACAAAGGTTTAAATATTCACTAATCCTTTTACTTATAACAATGGCTATCCCACGGAAGCTTGTACCACCTTGACCCTGTGTGTGTGTGTGTGTGTGTCTACTGCCTCAGCCAAAGTGAAGTATATCCATATCAAGAGATGACACATACTAATACTATCTAGTATGCATTGGGTTCTCTCCCTTGTATGTGTGAGTTTAGTAATTATTGACATAGGTAATTTAAGGATTGTTGAACACTGCCCTGGAACCTTAGGTCTGGCATGAAGGATCTTGCATCCATCTATGTCATTAATTGCATGTGGAATTATCCTGCTCTCCAGTTGCAGTCTTACTAGCCTCTATTATTGGCTTTGCTTTGCTATCCATATTTAATATATTACCATGCATAACATTCACAGAACCAATGTTATGTGGCTATTTCATTCTGTCAAACACCAGTATCACTTACACCTTTGTTTATTCTTATAGCTAAAAGCTTTCTTTAAAAAAAAGAATATCAAGAATACCATTTTATTCACTGATAAAACTTTAAATGAGGACTTTAATGGCACTTCACCAGCCAACTTTAACTGTAGAAGAAAAGAAAATCATAATATCATAATGTCAGAATTCCTTTTGTTTGTTTACTTGATATGGAAGCACATTAGGCTAATATAAGAGTACTCTTATATTAGCCTAATGTGCTTCCATACACAAGTAAACAAACAAAAGGAATTCTGACATTTTTGTATCATGTTTCCTCCAAAAATAAACCACTTCATTATGCTCACAAATTGTTGTTTGTCTACTTAGATTTAGAAAATAGTATTAATTTTTTCTATCATGTAAAGATTTTTTTACAAATCAGGAACAAAAAAAACTCTTACTTAAAACAAATTATTATATTATTTACCTCAATGAATATTTTTCATTATTATGTTTGGGTTCTAGAACAATCGATAAGACTCCCACATCACGATTGATCTAGAGAAATTATAGCCAATGGTTGTCAACATTTTAAGCATAACAAAATGTGACCCTAACTGAATGAAAATGATTCACTTATGTAAAATTACATATGATGTTTTGTGAAAAATGTGTACATGATCGAGAAAAATGAATATCATTTTTGTATTCAGCATATACAAATTATTGTAGAACGTAAAATTTCAAGACAATAAAACCATTGCAGGCCTGTGTAATCTGGTGAATAGAGGCTATTTTTGCACTACATGTAACAATCATGAAATATGGCACAAATATATTTCTTTATATGTTGAACAAATTGAGATGTCGAAAACATTCTGAAATTCTACCCACTTAAAGATGGCAGCCCTTTGCAAAATGGCCATCACAAATGCCACTTCAGACTGTACGTGGAATCTGATTCCACTTGTTGTATATAAGTCACTTAGCAGTAAATCTGAAGACTTTTAACACTAAAAACTGAGTTTTGATACCTATGGTGGGCACAGTACAGATATATAGCCATTTTTTAACTTTGAGTTTAACAACAAACAAGTAAAACAGTAAGTTGAAGAACAACAATTTTTCAGCATGTTGAAGTGGTACTTTTTTATATTATATTCCCCAAAATTAAACCACTTCATTATGCTCACAAATTGTTGTTTGTCGACTTACTCTTATATTAGCCCAATGTGCTTCCATACACAAGTAAACAAACAAAAGGAATTCTGACATTTTTGTATTATGTTTCTTCCAAAATAAACCACTTCATTATGCTTACAAATTGTTGTTTGTCAACTTGCATAGCTGAATTTTGGAAAATCCATTATTAAAACCAAAGCAACTTTTATGAAGTTTAAATTTGCAGGCCTGTGTAATCAAATAGTTTCTGTTAACAAGGGAGAAAAAAAAAACTGACAGCTTAAATGCAACCTGACAACCATTTGAGTATTTAGAACAAGCTTCGAATTCCTGATTCATGAATAAACCTTTTTGAACACAGCTCCAGTTAAAATTATTTTATCTCTATTATGATGTTTATCTAATAATTATTTATATGCTCACTTTTATTAATATATTAATATTAGATATCATTCTTTAAATGTTTATTAATATTTTGCTGTTCCAGTTTCTGTATTACTGAGTGGTTTTGTTGATATATCCTCTATTTGTTTTGGACACTATTTGCACGAATGCATTTTTTTTATAAGCCACTTTTATAACACAGATTACTCTCTTCTTGTTTTCTGTCACTTGTACATCATACACACTCATATTTATGCAATGTTATTTCACAATTTAGGTCATATTTTAAAAGTGCTTGGGGTTATAGAGTTTCATTTATGTTGATCCTGCATATTTTTGTGTTATGAGCAAAATTATAATTATAGTAAATATTTTATTATTTGATACATGCTTAATTAGGAAATGGTTATTTTGCAATTTTCTGTTATACATATAACTCTGAAAATTTTATTTGATTGGGAATCAAGCCAGACTCCCAAAACAGAAGTAATTTCTCCCTTGAGGTTCCAGCAAGAAGAATTTTGTGGAAATAATGATACTTCACATTTTTGTATCAAATGCATTCACAATATGAAAACACCATTTAATAAAGGAATTGTTGTTTATTTAGTGGTTAAGTATTTCCATTATACACATATATCAGTGTTTCAGTGAAATTTTTTCTTTAAGGAGTAATCACTTCTGTCAGCAGGAGTAATTTTAAGTTTTTTACAAAGTGTGACGATAATATTTTGTGATAAAAAAGTAATTTAACTATGAATTATTTTACTATTTCAAAAGGTGAAATTTGACACAGTATTAATTTAGCAAATTGAATCACCTTATATAATAAACATAAATAATGACATTACAACTTTTTATTTCATTTTTTAAACAAAATTGGATTATTCACAAGTGCACCAATAGAAAATTCTGGTGGCTATAGGGCACTTATTTTTGCAGCTCTATTGTGTGAACTGCATAGATCTTGTGCAGAACTGCAAAAAGCAACAAGCTTGTGCCCATTAATTACTCTGCTACTGTTAAAGCAGCAAATATTTTTTTAAGGCTGATTTTTGGTTGGGAATTACTCCGATATACCACTTATCTGGAGCACTGATATATGATTGCATTTTCTTTTAATCTAAAACTTTTTCTTCAGATTCTGAGAAAACCATTTTATTGTGTTTTTTTTTTAACTTGAATCAATAAACTAAGGTGTCTTCATTCAAAGTAATATAAAAACGATTTTCTGAATTTGCTGCTTTTTTCCTACCTTTTTATTTTTTTAACTAACATTTTGAAGTGGTCATGTTTGTAGTCTTAGCAGGATTTTTATGTCCATGCACATATGCAGTGCCATTTTACTGCATCTTTAAAAGTCAAGCAGTGTTATAATCCTATGATATCTTGCACATACCAACTGAAGTTACTCCGATTTAAAACTTTGTGAAACTTTTTTTTTGGCTTTTCATTCTCTAATTTTTCATTGGTCTTTTGTTTTTGGCAGGAATTTCACTCAGCCTTTTTTCAAAGGTTTTATGCCTAACCAATTTGCTATAGACATTCTGACCAATGAAGAGTAGTGAATACCATTATGGCAGCAATACCTAAATTTGATTTCATTGCAGGCTTAAAATGCAATTATATTTGTAAATTAATGAGTAAAGTCAGTTTAAAATGATAATGTTTTGTGTTACATACTTTGTGTAATTAATGATTACCTTTAGTGACAAACAATCCAATTAAAGATACAGCAGTCCAAATGCTGAAAAATATGATGCTTTTCCCAGTCGTTATTAACACTTCCCTAATCCACTGATAATAATTAATCCAATTATATCTATCAATACAACATACATTCAACTTTTTTCTTTGTTTTGATACAAAATTTCTCTGAGAAATATGTGTAATTTGTACTGACATACTCTTGGTTGAGAGATTGGATTGAGTATGCTGTTTGGCATATATCTTCATTATGCATGCTGAGTTAGGAGAGTGTGGATAAGCGTGTTGTGTCTCAGCTGTTTGACTGGCTTATGACAAGAATTTTGAAACCAAGTGTGTGATTATCCTTTTTGTCATCTTCAGCACAAGTGAATGACCAGTGTGAAAAATGAAAGCATTTGAATTTTGTCTGTGGGAAAAATAACTGAAATCATAAGTTTTAAGTTGAAGTTTAAAGCCACTTAGCCTGGTTGCATGATCTGTGTTAAATTCTTCTGCTATTACTATTATTAGTTTCATTTTGTATTTCACTCCAATTTCTGGAGTAAGAGTTTAACTTTTATTATACACATGATCTGGTAACATTGTGAGAATTCAAATGTTAAATTCTAACACATAATTGATGATAGTGCTGAATAGTAAATTTTGTATGGTTTTTGATACGATGTGGTAGAGTTATATGTCCAGATGTTGAATGTATAAAGTTTAGTTGTTAGCTACAATTCCCCTTTTCTGAGCTTAAAATGTTCTTCACCATTGGTATCAAGTAGGATCAGTTTGCCTTCACTGACTCATGTTTTAGAAGCAGTTCTTTCACATATTGCCATACTCCTTCAGGTTTACTTTTGTAAAAGCTTGTATAACTTTATATAAATACCGTAACATATTTTCTTATCCCCACATAATCATGTAATGTTTTGAAAGTCAACATTTTTAATACCTGTAATTTATCGCATCCTTTAAAATTCATTTGTTGATGAATTGACCAGAAGAGCTGGAATCATATCAATCAGTCATTCCTCATTCTACCACACCAGATATTGATATCTTTTAAAAACAATAACCATGATTATTTTCCCTCATATTTTTAACTCTTTATTTTTTTTTTCTTATTTATAATTGTAAAAGGTCTTCCTGCTTCAATTTC